TTAAAATTTGGGGGGGGGGGGTTTATCCCCCCCCCCCCCCCCCCCCCGGGATCTACGCCTATGCCCCTGCTTGCAATTGACTAAATTATAGTGAATGTTTATCTTATTTACCATTATTTTTAGTTAGTTTGTACGTAATATTATACAAGCGGGCATGATTATGATTACCAAAATAAATTGAAACCGGCCTACCCTTTCTAATGTTTTCAAAATTTTAAACGAGAAAAAAGAAAATTATATTAAAATAAGTTTGAGAGTTCCATTTTCAGCGAACTAGAGGTGTCATAATCATAAAATTTCGACCGGAAACGGTGCAAACTTTAAGCACAAGAAGTCAGTACCGGGAGGCGGTTTGCACAGATTTACAGTAACAACAAGGCCAGATATACCTATGACTGAACTTCAGAGAAGAAGACCAGCCTGTGACTTCTTCCCAGCTCCAAACTTCACCAACGGTACACAAGTTGACAATTGAGGTACCGTATATTGCAATTTCTATAATAATAATAATAATGAATATACATCATAAACGCGTGTAATAAATAATAAATAATAAAAGAAGGGCCTCATTAGTTCAATCTAAGATTTGGAAAAAAAGCCCTACAGTAATATCTTTGCATGTGTATTGATGGTGAAGAATATGGTTGTATAAATAAAACCATAATGAAAACTATAAATTTAGTTTCAAAAACACGTGTGTAGGACTAATATTATATATTCCGTTAAAATATGTCGTATTGTTTTCTAAGAGGGAGGGGGAGGAGGGGAGGGTATCACACAGGGTCATAAATGACTAACCGGGAAAATTATTATGACCCAAGACCTCTATTACACGCCTGGACGTGAATGGTATACTGTAGATGAGGACGTGAATGATACACTGAGGATGAGGATGTGAATGGTATACTGAGGCCGAGGACGTGAATGGTATACTGAGTATGAGGACGTGAATGATATACCAAGAATGAGGACATGAATGGTATACTGAGCTGAGGACGAGGACGTGAATGGTATACTGAGGGTGATTACATGAATGGTATACTGAGGACGAGGACGTGAATGGTATATTGAGGATGAGGACGTTGTCGTGAATGGTAAACTGAGGATGAGGACATAGGCGTAGATCCCGGGGGATGGTCCATTGTATCATCCCCCACAAAGATGAAAATTAGCATAATGTATTAATGTTGACAACAAAATTATTTTATCTGGTACCAATCTAAGCTCTTCTTTCCTTAAAGGATGTGCTTGCAAAGAGAGCCACATTTCACACTGAAGGCTCAATATACCATTTGCCCTGCCACAGACGACCGGGTGCTTAAGAATCGAGACAATGGCTCCAAAAATTGAACTTTATAGTATTGCGAAATTTAAGTGGAAATAAATTTAGGCATACCGTCTAATTTACGATCAAAGAGGACTAGGGGAGATAGGAAGTACACATCAACAATCATTAGCATTTTTATAGTAAAAACACAAAGGTGATTTGCAATACTTAATTTTTTAAATTATTATTACGTCATTGGAGTTCGCATCGTAAAATCGCGGTACTACTTTAAGTCGGAAATAGACAGACCAACCAAGTATCCGTGTTATCGGCTGAGCTGTAGGCCTATATTGTTTAAAGAAAGACTATATAAAATGCAATTGACTAAAAACATTTAAATTCGGCTAATGAAATTAGTTTTAAATTAGAAAAAAAACAGCAATCTATATGCAGATAATATGCACTCTACGGGTCTTACTAATATACTAATATAATATAATATAACGTGCACTTTTGATTTTGTAAAAAGGTTGATCTGTTTACGGCCTAGTTCAGACTAGGTGGATAAACCTGGCTCAACTCACCGGGTTTATCCACCTGCCAGTCTGGACTAGGTGGCTTATCTCAAGCCGGGCTGTTCCTATAGCAACTAGGCCTGGCGCGCCACACCGTGTTGGTTTTAACTTTTCTAAGCCGGGCTTTATCGTTGCGAGGGGAGGGTGGGGGTGGTCTTGCATTGACTTCAGGTCATCAAATGACCAATAGCATTCAATTACGTACGCTGTGAGCGAGCGTACGTTTCGCGAGCAATGTTTTGAATCACGTTTCCTGGTTTACGGTTCATTATGCAAATTCTCGCGCCAGGCTAATCATGCTAGTCTGAACGCCCGGCAAAGTTAAGCCGGGCTTAACTCAAGCTTGGCTTATCTCCAAGTCTGAACGTAGCTTTAACATAGCCTACACCCAACCATGGAGGAAATATATTAATATATTTCCGCCATGACCCAACCAACAATTTTAACGTCAAGAAGGCCTAGGCCCACATTGTTTTGACAATAAATTTAACCTCTGATAACCGTTTGCACCCATAAAATCGATGAAGTGGTTACTAGATACGCAATTTACGAAAAAATAAGTTTTTTTTTTACCCGGTTTTGGTTTGAAAATACGCACCCGAGGAAACAGAACACAAGCGAGCATCAAATTCATGACAGTCAATTGTTGTGGTCTTTCCACTCGCTTTGAAAAGGGGTGTTAACTAGCCCAATAGAAGATTGGTGGAATGTTGGGGGGCGGGGTGGGTGCAGGGATGGGAAATTAATATGACGTCCCCTTTGAAATGTGGGGACGTGTCCCTCTGTCTCCCACCAATCGAAGTGAATTGCACTGTTACGTACATGTTGTATACTGCGGAAGAGGACGTGACTGATATGAACCCGACGTGAATGGTGCTGATGATGATGATGACCAAATCCCAAGACTATTGTTTTTACACGAACGTTTTTAGAATAAAATCTAATAAACTGAATGTAAGATACACATTTAACGCAATTAAGGTTTTTTTTTTTAATTAGTAGGCCCTATTTAATTAAGCTCATTAGATTTACGTGGCAGTACGCGAAGGTGAATGAATAATTTTCTCTGCATAAACAATTCTTGACGTCGCAAGCCACTCTGCCCTCATCGGTAAAAATAGTTGCAGCAGCGTTTTCGATCCACCGAATAGACGAGCAGGACTGAATTTTTTCGCCAGTAATTGATATAAAAACGCTATTCTAAGCACCATTGAAATCGACAGGAACGCATAAAAAGATGGTTGTCAATTATGGTAAAGTTTTAAGGCTAATGAATATAGGTCTATCGGCCTAGCTAGGCCTTAGTATTCAACGGTAGTTACTGCTTGCTATGATACAGATGATGCGGGAATTTCCCATTTCCTAATTCTGTATAACACCGGTGCCACCTGCGCGACTCAGCAGCGACTTAGAATCCGTGTTTTTTTTTAGCCTAGAAAAGGTGGTGGTGTTTGTTGCATATAGTTTTTATCGTACATTCGTTGATTTTAAACAGGTACTAACTGAATCAAGGTCATTGTTAACTACATTATATTAAATTTTGACCAAACAACCAATACTGTAGGCTACTCCATCACCAGATATTCCAACCTCTGAATGGAATGGGAACCAGTCAACTCGCCCCTAGCTAGGGCCCTAGCAAACTCTTCCCCCTTGCAATCTCGCCCCCTTGACAAGCTCGGCCCTTGAAAACTCGCCCCAAACAAACTCGTCCCTACAAACTTGCCCCGACTCGCCAGGGGGGAGGGCCTTCAGCACACAACCTTGATGAGTAAAGTTACCATATTGAACTTTTTTTGTCATTTTAATTCTAATGATTTATAAATTCATAAACAGAGTTCTGAAAGGCAATTCAAATACCTGTCAGTTACGTGGTGCGTCTCTTGAGAATGCGGAAGTATGGCTGAAGATAAATAGTGACATATAAATTAAGATAGCCATTTACACTGTTAAATATAATGTTTGAACACTTTATTTACCTTGCTTTAAAGATATATATCATTATTATGTAGGATATATAGGGCCTATGTGTATCAAAGAAACTGTCATAATGAGTCTCTAAAAAAATTTAACCAACACAACATTCAGCGTAATTTAACTGTACTCACTGATCCTAGGTTCCCACAAAATTTGGGTGTGTGTTAATTCTAGATTCTCTACTAAAGCAAGAAAAGTAGGGCCAAAACCTCACATTTGCATAGACCTACATAATTTTTTATATTCCACTGTTGGACGCTCCAGTGATTATCGATATATATATTTTTTGTTGTCTTTTTAAAACATTAAAAATTTAAATCTTAATATAACCAGAAAATAGTCTTTAACAAAATTTTTGTTGTCTGAAGAAAATGTGAAAATAGATAAAAAGGATTTGTTTATTTTTAAATAGATCGATATCCTAGTACCCCACTACCACTTTACTAACATGTAAATCTAGGGTATATGTGTAGTATAAAACGTATGCAAATAGTCATTTACAAACTGACATTTTCAACCATTTTCCCAATGAAAGTTAATAACTTTATCTTGCAATTAAGTTTGTGTTTTCTTTTCTATTGCAATGGCTGGCAGTACAGTATCTCTAATTGAAGACCACTTTTCTTTGGTTGTCTGGACTATATGATAATACAGAGATTAAAAAGGAGGCTGAAATTACTTCTTTGTCTTTGACCCAAGAACAAACAACTGGGGGATTAAAAGTTAAAGGGCTGTAACTATCGGGATAGAATACAGGTCATTTTATTGTTAACATTTTAATATTAAATATGTAGAATCACTGTGTTGTTATCTATATCTAATTGCTTAAAGTTTTCTTTTTTTTTTTTTTTTGCAGACTTTTATATCACTTGTCTAGATGACCCAGAATGGGAAAAAAGGATACTTAAAAAACTTCAGAATAAAGGATTCATGGGTTACCATAAGGGGAAATTTCCTCTTGGTGGCATGAAACTTAGAAGCAGGTGCAATGCTGTCCAAAGTCATAGAGTCAAGATTATTGGGTTTGTGTCCCCATCAGTGAGAAAAACAGACATGGACACATACACTGCAGCCTTAGCACTTGAATTGGGTAAACTTGATGATGATCATATCATATGCGTTAGGGTTACAAAAGATGCAGTAATTCCGAAGGAATTCTCTGTTCTTGTAACTGTTGAATGCTCGGATGAGGAGGAGCTATGTGAAGGCATTGCTAAGTGTATAACAAGCGTGAATTGTGGAGGGTCTGTAAGAGATTCAATAGATACAAGTATGTCTCCTCCTTCATTGTTTCTTGCTTTAAAAAAAAATAAATTGACAGTATTGGTAGGCATTACTGTGAAGAATTCTACTGTATACTGCTCATAAATAGCAAGCCTTTTGCTTAGTTTGTCATAGATTTATCACATCAAATGCTGTATTTGACTTTTGAGTCATGCAGTGAAAGATAATGTTTGGTAAGTCAGCATTTCTGAAGATTACACTCCCATGAAATGTTTTGAAAAAATAAACATATTTTAACCTCAGAATAACACATAATTAACATATTAGCAAAGTCCTAGTACAAGAAAACAAATAGAACATACAGTACAATTACAGTCTATTGTCATTAAATTATAGAATGGTTTGGTGAACATTCTCATGTACACTAAGGTCTGTACAGTGTAGTTTGAGTATTAAAGTATATAACTACTTTATACAATTTAATTTTACTCTTTAAGGGAATAATGTGAATTTCTCAACAGTTAGTTAATTAATCCTATAGTAATAACAAAAGGTCACATTGCAATTTTATTTATTAATATTTAGTAAATTTTTCACAGCAGTGACAGATGCAAGACAACAGGTGACGAGCACCTCTACTACAGCTCGCTCCTTAAAATTATACTAAAATAGAAATATATTATAAATTTCCTAAAAATGTACAATATGGCTACTTTTCATCAATGATGCTAAATGGTCCAATATTACTAGATATACAAAAAAGAACTTTAAAAAAAGAATTACATAGATCACATTGACATTTCAGTCTGATAATTATTTTGATTTTATTATATGAAATGGGCTGGAGGCAATTTTTTACTGAAGTACAAGAAAGTTGAATGTATGAAAATGGGACTTAATCAAATTTATATGAAGTGACTCAAATTTTGTTTAAATTTTAATGAACAAAATTGTTTCACAATATATCACAATTAGTAACTTGTATTTTTCCTTGTATTTGTATTTCAGGGATGCAAGGGCAAAACCAGCAAATAGGTGGCCATGATGGTAACTATTATAGTGTTTTTTTTGGTTGTAATCTGTATGTCAAAACAAATACAAAAAGATCAGATTAGTAATATATATATAATTATAAATTAATTTATTTTGTAGAATTATTTGAAATTATTTGCTCTTTGCCTTGACATTTTAAAATTCCATTTGTTTGCTATAAACATACAATTGACTTTTACTGACAAAATACATTAAAATTGGTCACCAATCGTGGCCTGAATACCAAATTGCTTGTGAGCCTAACAATTCTCATTATAAAAAAAATATTTAAAAATTTAAGCTAGCATACGTTATCATATAAAAAAATCTGAAAATATCCTGGTTCTAGATCTATTATAACACCTTTATGAATAAATATCCATTATTTATGCTTATTATAGGTTTTTTTTTTTAGAGTCAGGTCAAATATATAATTACTAGATGATCAGAGATTTAGATGAGAGACAATAAACTTTACTGTATGGCCTATTTGTTGATCACTGCAATTTTTCATTTACAAATTTCAGAAATAGATGTTGCGCGTGCAGCAGAAGCAAGCAGAGGTAAGCACATACAAAAAAACTACAACTCTACTACACTGTAGTACTGTTGACGTCAATGCTGTTTCAGAGGAAGTTAATTTTCTGGTTAAAAAAGCAATGGAGACATCTGTGTGATTGAAACAGTATATGTTACGTGGCTCCCCGTGGCTCCCAATATAGTACCACAGTCGTGTCGTCACGACGCCAGGTGGTACCCCGTTGGTTACCGTTCATTACGCCTGAATGACTTCATAAGCTTTCTGGAATAGGCATTTTAAAATCTAATATTTTACCATCAAAATGTACTAAAAACACAAAAGCTCGCATTATATTAGTTATTGAACACACATTTAATCATCAATTAAATCAAAATTTACAAAGACAAAGTAAGATACAACATCTTAATAATTATGTTTGAAATTGGGATCAATGTTTGTCAGTGAAGAAAATGGCATCCGGTTTAACGCTTTTTGCAACGATAGCAACAGGGAGTAGTATCACATGGTATCGTAACGTAACACTGTATTACTCTATGTGGCTCCTAATAATAATTCTGCTTGTGTGGAGGCATTGTTTGGTTTTTGTGACATTTTTTATACCTTGTTTCACAAACTTATTTTTTAAAGATCGTCAGAGGAGGGTGGGAAAAAAAAAAATTAAATTTTGTTTTCTTATTTAGCAATTGGTTTTGCCAAAAACATCCAGACAGAGAAAATAAAAATAAAATTTTATTGTTGAATGTACACAGTGTAGTATATGGGATGACTGAATGTTTAAAATCTTTATTTTTTTATATTTATGAATAAATATTTTGTACTTTATTAATTAATCATCATCTGTCATCATTATTATAATCACCACGTTGATAATGAGCTCAACTTTTGGCTGAGGATGTAATGTTCCTGTAGACACCTGATCAAACTTGGCTAGCATCGGTTTTAAATAGGAGTCTGATAACTTGGCTCCTTGAATTCAATGGCCCCCACATTGAGAGTTAGGTGTGTTAAGGAACATGTTTGTGTCCATCTGTGTCTGTTCTCTCTGTTGTATTTAAGTTGGGTGCTGTACTGCAACTGCCGCAAGTCCCCTGGGGCCCAACTGAAATGTCCAATTTCATGTTGAATTAGGACATAAAGAAAGAATTATTATTATGATTTTATGATTTATCATTAACATAATCATCACCATCATAATCACATTTACAGTTAGCATTCATGCATCTTATCCATTACATTGAACTATAATGGATAAGATGCATGAATGCTAACTGTAAATTGATTATGATGATAATATAATACTGTAATCATCACCATCATAATCACATTTACAGATAGCAATACATTTCAATAGAATTTTGAGAGCCGAATAAAACAATAATCAGATTTTGCAATATTCACAATATAGTTTCTGATACTGAAATCGTCAATGCTGTAATAAACGATAATTGTATTCAATGTAAAGCACACAATCATTAATTTATTTTGCAAAAATTAAAAGAAAACACTTAATTACTTGTAACTTTTTATTTTTTTTTCCCCAGGAAGAAAATGGCTGTTAATGTATTGGCTAATCGCATGTGGTATATTGGTGATCTCGATCACTGCATTTACATTGGTGAATATTTACCCAGAAATAAAAGTGCCACTAATGTATTGGCTAATCGCATGTGGTACAGTTGTGATCTTGATCATTACATATATAATGCTGAACGTTTACCCTTATATGAAATCCTTTTCTATGGAAAAAAAAGTAATTTCTGCCCTGTTTATTTGTTTGATTGTCTCATTTTTTACTGGTGTAATATATAATGTTGTATGTTTTGAATCACTTTCTGATACACAGAAATCGTCTATCTTTGCATGTGTTGTTATTATCATAATAATACTGATTGCATTATATGATTTCAATGCCACTCTATCTAAACTTGAGTCATTATCTGATAGAAGTAAAGTAGCTGTTTCTTGTATTATTGTCATTTTCCTCTTAATATTATTTCATGTAATTTCAAATATTATAGTATATTGAAAACTCTTTTTGACATACTGTTGAAAATTCTTCCATAATACTATAAAGAATTTTATTTTCATATACCATTCGAAGAAGTTCAAAACGTCTTGTCTATAAGATTATGTAGTAAATCCTTTCTACATCAGAAAGATAACTCAGAGATAACTCTAGGAATTCCAAAATATTAATATTGTAATATTGCTCAAGATGCTGTGAGTTCTTTTTATGTACTTTCCTATAAAGTCTGTTTTGCACTTGCGAATTTATTTGCGGGAGTCGAAAGCGTCGGTTCATGCGCATGTGCATTCACATTTCTATCGGCGTTTTCGCTTCAGCGAAATCGCTATTTCGTAGTGTTTCTACTTTTTGTGAAGTGAAGAAAGTTTGCAACCAATCAGAGCTCAGGAACCGAACCGACGTTTTCGATTTCACATCGATTTTTGTTTTCTATTGAGGAGGGAGGGACTTCTACAGGTAGAGGGTGTATCCACCTCAGCCCCACCATGGTTCGGGATGAGGTAAGAAATTGTATGATTATGGCCGGAAATGGGACCTTTAGATTTAAATTTGAATACAATTTTCATTCATTTTATTCAATTATTTTTTTGTTAATTTAAAAAATGTAGGGGCCTGCCCCACCTTTGAATCCGCCATTGATTATCGTCAAAGTGGGAAAATGAGACTCTATGGCTACGTTGAGACTTGGAGATAAACACGGTGGCACGCCAGGCCTAGTTACTATAGGAACACAGCCTTGAGACTTAGTAAGCATGGAGGCCTTACCCTGCAAATAGAGTTATGCCTTTGCTAATAATAGGCCTATTGACATTTATTTTTTTTTTGTTTTTAAAATTTTTATTTTATAATACTTCGGGCAAACAATACATGAAGAACAAAGGCCTACATGAAAACATAAAAAAAAAAATCGAAAAAAAAAACCCAACTGCCATAGCCAAGGAGAGACCAAATAGCGCTAGCTACAGATAGAAGACCTTCCCAAACTATACAATCAAAACCCACAGATATAGATTAGATTACAGCATTTGAAAAAATTAAGAACATTTGAATTTTGAAACAGGATACAATTTATGAAACGTGTGATAATTTCTTTTTAAAACTTTGTGCGTAATCAGAATTAATTATGTTGTTAGGAAGGCTATTTCACTGAACTATGGCAGATGGGAAATGATGATTGATATGCACGAGGTTTTGAGTGATTATTTCGTTTACTACGACGCCCTGGTTTCATACAATGCCAGTAGCTACAAATCGGATATTACTTTTTGAGTTTCAAACGTCTGGATTCAAGGGTCATATAATATTCATTTTCTTACACCTACAGTATTTGGATCCGAGATTTCCCAATTTTTACAACGTACTTTTTAGAGCAAATCTTTGGACAGTTTCAAGCTGTTTAATTTGTTGTGCCATGGGATCAAAAACTTGGCAAGCATTAATAGGTAACCATAGTAGGCCTATATAGTTTTAGAGTCGCACTCGTAAAAAAACAAGTTGTTTTTTTACGAGTTAACTTCCTCGATCTCATCAGCTTCGTTAATTTTAAAGGAGAATTTTGGACGATTAGACTTACGATATTAACGTGAACTTCGTTTTTCTTTCGTAATATTCAGTTTCGTATAATATTTAAAACTTGATTGTATAATATTTTAGATGTCCAGTGTATCTCATGTCTATTAGTCTTGTAATAAATGATTTCAGTTAAGTTAATTTTACTCAGCTTTTTTTTAGTGTTTTATCTTAAAAAAAATATTCAGCTGTTCGTAATAGGTCGGACTATGTATAAATTCATAAATTCTAAAGCTGTTATTACAGCGCCATTGAGTGTCTTATTTTTATACAATAAAATTGTTTAACTTTGAAAAAAATCAGTGCTTCTTTCTTTCTTACTTGTTCTTCCACTCGCATAAATTTTTTTCCTAAGTATCATATAGTTATAACTATGTTTCCAGAGCATGAACCAGGATCATCATCAACAGCAGCACCATCAACATCATTTTATCATCATCAACATTCAACATTATTAACAACATCAGTAACATTATCATCATCATCAAAATTCAACGTCCTGAATATCATCATCACACATTCTAGAGGGTTAGATGACCAATTTAATAGATTTATGAGGAGGAAATCTGACAAAAATATATGTACTGTACAAATTAGAAAAAAAAACAAAAAAAAAAAACATTTACAATGGATTACCCAACTCAGAATACCTAAAGTGTAAAACATTGAAAAATATATACTTGGTAACTATTTATGCATAAGGTGAAACTTTGTTTATACCTTGTTTCGCGAACTTACTTTTTTAAATATCATAAAAGAGGGCGGAAAAATATTTTTTCATAATTTGGCCTATAATAGCAAAATGATATTGCTACAACCATCTAGGTAGAGAAAACATTTTAATAATAAATTATAGTGCAGTACTGTAACGAGATTGATAAATGTTTTAAATTTATATAATTAAGGAAGAAATATACACTTCATTTTTGGCGATTTCAGGTGAGCGGTGTGCGTAATAAAATTAAATATAAAAAATTTATTTTTTTGTGAAATTTCCATTTTTCGTAGTGGCGGTTTCGCTAAACAAGGTATAAGTATCGCCTAAGTGTAGTAATGATAATTTTATTTAGTTTTAATCACAGTGTTTGTTTGATCCCTTTCTTATCCACTCAACTAACATTTAACACGAAAAATGTTATGTTTCTGTGAATTGTCCCACTGAACAGCTCATATTTTGGTAGGGGGAAGCCTATTGCACATATTCCCGTAGTTTGGCTCTACATCATCGTAAATAAACATTTATTAAGATATGCTTGTGTCTTCATTGTGTTATTTATTCATTTGAATACTGTATACATTGTATTTAAAACCCTGTTTCTCAAAGTGTTTCATTACACACAAGGCAATACCCTAATACGTTCTCTCAATTCCGTGCCGCGGCGCTTATTTAATAAGATATAATAGCGCAGCGGCGCTTAGCGAAAAATAATCACGTTTTGTGCGACGCTTATTCGAGGATTTACGGTACAGCATGATACGCTATACGTATAGTCAAACAACATTCGCCCTCCAATTTGAGACCCCTCTAATTCGATACCACTTTTTCAAAGTTTTTCCAACTAACCAACTAGCTTATCTATTAACACTGAGCTCTCCCTCTAATTATGAGACCCCTTTAATTTGAGACCACCATTTAAGGAAGTAGCAAGTAACAAACTGACATCCAATTCAAGACCATTTGAAAAAGTAAAAATTAAAATGAAGCGGTTTATTGACCTGAGCATTTTGACGTGTTTTAACGAAGATACGCAAGGTAGATATATAATAGGCCCTAGGTACAGTTTAATTTTTTCTCTCTTTCATTTATCATAGTAGCAATGACCATTTCAACCCTTGATGTACTTCTTCATTTACAAAACATTTTAATGAGCTTAATTTTGACGACTGATAACATAAAATGTCGACTTCATATTCATGCTGTATTTACAAGGAGCGTAGGCTGTGGGATTCGACCACACCCACAGGTAGTTCACCACTGTTCAGCTGGTGTAGTCATAAACCTATAGAGGCCTGAATAGAATAGCACTACAGTACTGTGCAACTGGAAAATTTGAACGGCAGCAAGTGAACTCGATCGGTCAACAGAAGAACACATGCCTGTCGTAAAACAAAATGAAAACTCTTTTTTTTTTTATCCCAAATGTCAATAAACACTAGAGTGATTCGAAATAAATACCCAGCTAACAATATTACGTTCTAATAACGTTACAGTTTGGTGATAAAAACGTTATTTTGTAGAACCATATGTACGTTGTGTGAACGTTATCTTGTGACATACTTAACCACAACGTTTGCGAACGTTTGAGCGCTTTGTGTTTGCTGGGTACAGTGTCCTTTCCATCCTATTGTCTACGAAGTAACACTAAATAAAATAACATCTTTCTTTATGTGAAATAAAGTGTAAATCTAATGTTTGCCAACTATCTAATTAAAACAATTGTTGAAAAAAACTTGACAGAAACATAATTATATGATGATGAT